AGAGTGAATGGCAATGAAAGAAGTTAAACAACCAAAAGGTCTTGGCACTCAAGAAGTTACCAAAACTTTTTAGTACATATGATAAGGGGGAAAGGGGCTAGGCAGCTGGAGATGCAACAGATTTATTTCTTTTACCGTTAGACGCCCCAGTCATAATGCTAGATATTATACAAGCACATTGAAAGACAGTGCCTACCTCAAAAATCTCAGCACCTATACCACACAGGAGCAGAGGGATCCTGCCTGGCAACTGCTATGTATCAATGGAAGACACCTAGTTAAATTCCTATTCAAAATGTTAACAATACACTATTCCACTACAGAGCATTCGTTTGACGTTTTATATTCAAAAGCAATAAGAATTAAACTACTCCCAGAGGAAAGAGAAGAGTATGTTTATCTATTACTTCAGGGGTCCAGTTTGAATGGAAAGAGCGTGGGGAGATGATCCAAGAGAACTGGTGTCCTAAAGCTGCCAGGAAATGATTGTAAATTGGTATACAGTCAGAGAGACAGCACAGAAGGAAGCTATCTGTAGTGAAGTTAACTTAGGCTAGGGGCACATTATATTTGTAATGCTATAAAAAGGGAGCGCACAGACTTTTGTATCATTTGTACTGCCAGATCCACCACCAAAACATTCCTCTTTCAAGGAGGAGCATCTCTGTACCACTGCATTTTGTAGCACTCTGTGTAACATCTGTCCACTTACAGGTAGAACTACAGGGGGTCTTTTCAACCCCAGCACCCCATAGTCTTGTCCTTTTTTGCCCTCCAAAGGGAAGGAAGGGAGTGATCTCTGTCCAGCCACAGCAAGCTGTCACAGTCTTGCTGGGACCCTGCTGCCAACACTTTGGGAGTAAGAAGCAGTACCGCTGCCCCCGGTGGCAGCAGCAGCAGAGAGAGTTGCTGCAACTGCAGGAGCAGCTTGTGCCCCCACAATTACAGTGGCATTAAAAATAGCAACAACTGCTGCTTCCCTGTCATTTGCTTGGACCAGCCCCTGCCACCCTCTCCTATGCTGGGACTGGCAGAAGCTGTCAAACACAGGCTCCCGCCATGCACCCTAGGAGCAAGCTGTCGCAGCCTGCCACTGCTCCAGTCACTACAGCAATTCCTGCAATAGCCTACCCAGGAACAGAGAAGACAGGCTGTCTGTGACTGGGCTCATCGACAGGCTCTCCTGAGGGCAGGAGCTACAGAGCCCTGATTGGAAAGCATGCCTTTAAGGTGACTGTGTAGCACTCCAGCTAGTGGATGCTCCCATAGCGTTTTATTCCTGTAGTGCTGCAAATGAACAAATCCATGGCCTTAAATGCATTTTTACTACCACCATATGCCAATATCATTACTGTCACTGGTAATATGAAAAATAGCAATGCATGGCTTCCTAGGTGTTTAAATACCATAATAATCATTGCACATACAGACCGAGGTGAATTCCTAATGTGTACAGTGAGTAAAGGTGGCTTCTACCGTAAGAAGTACAGTTCATTTCAGAACTGACCTGAAAGTTTTTCTTTGAATCAGATGGTCACCATAAAAATAACTCCCACGATGTTCTATGAAAGAAGCACAACGATGTTCTTCTTATGGCCCAATCATCCTGACGCAGCTCCCATCAAAGCCAGTAAAAGCCAGGTGTGTATCCCCTCCATGATCAGACTCTTTAAACTTCAAGTGACAGATTCTCAGTGGGTGTAAAGTGTCACAGCTCCACTGAAGTCAATGGTATAAACTGTCATCATTGCACTTGATGATCTGAACATACATCTTTTTTCCTCCCCCTCAGATGAAGTTAGAACCTGTTTACTGCAGAGGCAGATGCACGTATACTCACAGTGGTGAATAAAAATTTGCGTGGCTGTGGCTGTGACTGCCAAGAGCAGAGAGTTTAGTTTGTTTTCTTCGATATAAAGTGCTGCCTACCTTATGGGGAAGAAAATTATACTATTATTTTTTAACATAACAAAAACAATGTTAAATAAAGTGCTAGTTGGAGAGTGAAGAATAAGGAGAACTTTAGTAGAAGAGGGAAAAGTACTTACATTCCCACCTCTGGATTATATATTTACCACCACAGCCAGAAGTACCAGGGACATACTGATACAAACAAAGCAAATCAAAGCATTACAGTAATTCTTAAACCTTAACTTACCTGTGATTGAAATAAAGCCACTTCTTCCTCATAACAAATATAAGCCTTGTCTCCCAGTGCATGACACTGTACCAGTAACGTACATAACAACTGAGTTTGCAGTTCAGCCCTGAAGAGGAACACATTCTTGTCTTTCTGTTCATGTTGTGAAATCCATTTATTGTAAATGACTTCTTGTGTCACTGCTCTCTCTCAAATGAACTTTGTGGGGCATTACTTTCAAATATATCTTGCTGCTGCTCAGACAAAAAAGTGCAATATGTCTGAAAACAAGCCCAGAATTTAAAACCATGCTTTTCAGAGGGGCAGAGTTACCAACCCCTGAAGTGTGAGAATATCAAAAAGCAGTTACAAAAGCCTTTTACTAAACCAATACAGGAAAAAATATATAATAGGCAGAAAATACAGGTATTTGGTAAAAAAAATTCTTGTTTCTTCGGGTGTCTAGAATCAATCAATGCTTTGACCCTATCATATGCCTCACCAATTTTTAGAAATTGTACAAGCACACTTTAATTATTATAGAGTAGACAGCAAAAAATACATGGGCTAGTCTCTGCCTGGACTTTGTGTTAAAAGTATTCCATTGTTCTTCACTTAATTATGGCTAAAACAGCTGCTAATGAGTTTCAGATTTACAGTAGGCTTGATTTCTGCACAGCAAACTACTTACTCAGTTCTAATATGCTGACGGTTTTACATAGAAAAAGGATCCTTTTTGTTTTCTGTACATAATATTAATATATGAAGCATTCTTAAAGGATGAGTGTAGTTATTAACATTTCATATGGGACATGAGAAATAAATGCTTGTATCTTTAAAAGATCAGGTGACTGTTGAGCATTTAGATCTGGAGCACATATATAGACACCCAGAGGCACAGTGCCTGGCACATGGTAAGTGAGGAAAAAATTAAACAGTATGAGAAAGGGTGGTGAAAAGAAGAGGCTAGTACCAGCATGGGGAAGAGCACTGAAGGAGAGAGAATATAAGACATGCATTTAAAAAACGGCCAGACCTGAACTTACAAGAGGGAAAAAGGGCGGAGAGTGGAATAGAAGAAATAGTAAGAAATAGCAATTGGAACAAAACACAGCATGCAAAGACAAGGAAAAGCATGTGGGAGGGGTTTCAGGTACTAACAGCATTGGCGACATGTAGGGGGTGCACGTGCACCCCCTGAGAGAAGCGCCAGTGGCACTTCTGGGTTGTCAGCAATGGCAATTGGCCACTGGGGGGGCCCTCTCCCCGCCCAGGGTCGGTGATTGGCCACTGGTGTCTCCTCCCTCCCCCCCAGTATAAGGAGGCACCAGTTGCCCATGGGTACTAATCAGCCAAAATGAAAAAAGAAAAGGTTCAAAACCAAAACAGGTTGGGAACCACTGAACTGCACGGCTGAAAATTTTTCAGCACAAGAGCCGTCTGTGACAAATAAATAAATTTTACTTAATGTATGGTACTGTAAAAATGGTATGCTCCTTTGTTGTGAAGCAGCAAGTTCCCATGGTTCAAAATAGCAGTGTTGGCAGTGACTTTCAGCACATTGCTGGGCTTCTAAAATTCTGTTGGTATTAGAAACATGGGCACTCTCAACACTATATCAACTCAGTGAAAGAACTTCATTTTGCAGCTATGCAACTACTGTAGATCAGGCAGGATTGCCCTGAGGTTGGCTAATGACGCAACCACTGCTCTTGAAGAGCGACTCCTGAAACGCCCTTCAAGTAACTGTCTTACTAAAGGAAAAGAATGAGCTACGTGAGTTAATAGCCAACTAGAGATAGTTCTTTAAGCCACAGTCTGACCGAATGTGTTGATGTCACAAGAATCAGAAAGCTGGATGGACTCTGTAAAATGCTTTGTTTGCTTCAAATAAAGACAGAAAGTGCGTTAGAGCCAGTATATGCGACAGGGCTTTGATGAGTACACAGGAAAATAATGGAAGGACAACTGCCTGGGTAAAGTGAAATCTGGAAAGAATTAAAGTCAGATGAGTATAGAAGGCTACACGTTTCATATATAGTTCAGTATAGTATAAATCAGTGTTTCATGGAACCCTGCGGTTCCACAATAGGTCATCAGTGGTTCCACAAAGAGATCCAGGGTAATGGAGCAAGGTGGGAGGAAGTGCACCGCCACTGCCAAGCCAGCTTGCCTGGCTCCACATGAGCTCATGGAAGGGGGGTAGAAGTTTTGCAGCAGCAGAAGGGATATGGAAGAGTCACATGACTTTAGAAACTTTGAAAACCACTGATCTAAAAAACATCCTTGCACTCATTCTATGCCCCAAGGTGAACACACCAGCCAGAAGATTAATCCTGAATATAAGGTATTTAACCATGCAAGGATCTATAGGGTTCAAAAGATAGCAACAGGATAAAGTAGCTCATGAATAAATAGATTTGGTTATCAAAAATGTGATATTCTTTAAATACTCAGATACCTGCTTTGAAATTGGTTGGCCATATTATAAGGGCTTATTTGAGACCCAACCAGAATTAGGTGACTGTGTGTGAAATCTAGGTTCTAAAGTGCAAAAGAAACTATATTTTTGGGGGAGTACTCATGAAAAGACTGAACTATTTGTTCTCCCATTAGACTGAATGTTCTTACCATTCTTACTTGAATAATATGTAATACAAAATGCATCTGTATCAAAACAACTGTTTAACTTATATGCTCTGTTCACACAATGGAACAAAGCTGTTATCTGCAAATAAGACTTGCCTTCAGTGACAGAGGCACTGCTTTTTGAACCTCAGATCATATTCACATTTTACATAACAACACCCCTGGGTTTAACAGCCTTCTGAAAATGAAGATTAACTAACATGTTAAGGCCATTATTCTAACACCTGTTTTTATTTAAAATATTTAATTAACACACCAAAATTTTAGCAGCAAGAAACGCAGTAATTTCATTATACTTAAAAATACATCTTCCATTTGTCAAGTTTAAAACAAGTTCTGTAAGCAATCTACAGTGACCTAAAATTCTGGAGACATAAGTACTTGTGCCTAGAGCAAGTTTATAAAGCAATTTCCTAGAAAATTCTTACAGTGCAAAGTGCACATAGTTATTAGGAATTTCCATTATAGATTCTGGCCTCATTATCCCCCACTAAATGTTTGTGACAAAACTAAAGCATCTAAGTAACATAGCAAGTAGATTTCTATAAGGGAGCTGCTCACCTGGATGGTGCTTGCTAGCTCAGAACAAATAAATTACATATATTTTTAGACAATTCTATAATCCATACTCTGACAACAATACTATTAGTGGATGTCCTCTTACAGGTTAGGAGTTCACACTGCTTTAAAATTTTCTTCAGTGTTAAAGGAAAGCCAGAGCTCTCTGCTGATTACAAGGTTCAGGAGGGCAAAAAGGCAAACAGTTCTAGATATACTTGTCCATTTTTATGCAGTCTCCTCATTTTGGCACAAGCAACAGTTGCCCCATTAGTATGTTGTTCAGACCTGATGGATACCCTATGATTTCTTTTTGGTTCTGAGTGTGGCAGTAGGTTTTTGTACATTCTTATTTCCCTGGCTCGCAGACACAAAGGACTTGTCTGTCTCCCCCTTCTTCTCTTGACAATCCTGATTCCGCTTTAAATTTGACACTGGAGATACTGACCTACCTGCAGGAGTCTATAATTAAAAAAAGAAATTTAAAAAAACTGTGTATTTTTAAATATGAGGAACTGACATACTGTTAAACATAATAGCGCAATACAAATGGGTTGTGAAGTGGTTCTATGCCGGTATTATTCTACAGCAGTACAAGTTATAAAAAGTAGTTAAAGACATTAAAGTCATTCTGAAGTGCAAGAAAAGCCTCTTTATGAAAGATACAGTTTTAAACTTCTTCCATGGTTCACGTTCCATGATTCAACTTCTTAACTTATGCTCTGTAAATTTAAAACCTCATCTTTGTGAGGCAAAAATTCATTGTTTAAACACCTGCTCAGGACTTAGAGCCAATTGTAGTTACCTGATTATAGCCTTCACTAGCCAGGTTTCTGTATAAAGATATATCATTTTAAAGAACAAGTGTAATAAGCACCATAATTATAGTATAATTACCATAATAATTCAAATACATTCTAAAGCTCTTATCTTTATTCTTTTAAATATGAGATGGTTATTACAGCTATTTTTTTTTAGTCTGCTTTGTGAATAAAACTTGATCAACTCCCAAGGCTACCAACATTCTTTGTTGGACAAAGTTTCAGGCTTTGTCTTAAAGGCGTTTCATCTTATTAGCATTGAGGACTTTAGAAAATGATACTACACAAAGACAAAATTAATTTAACAATAACCCACCATCTGAGAAATAAACCTCATGATATTTTTACTTATTGACAACCATTAGTTAATTATTGTAAGAGCATTTCCCCTGGGCCAGATCCTTGGCTTCTGTGAATTAGCTAGTGACTTCTATGGAACATTGCCAATTGACACCCAGTAAGGATTTGGATCTCAGGTTTTTGTTTTATGTCAATGAAGTTATTTTTTTTTTATTTATGAAAATCTCAGCCCCAAAAGGTTCTCAAGTCCTGCTCTGCCCTTTTAATTTATCCCAAAACTGAAGGAAAAAGTCCTTAAAAACAGGCTTCTAAATCTAGAATCCAAGTAAACAAAGTCCTTTTTCCTCAATGGCACCTGCTGGATCTTCAGTTTCAGTTAAAAACTTTTTTTTTTCTTTGAGTTCATTCCCAAACCTTTTGGACAAAGGACTGCTGGCAACCTTCAAAATTTCTTGATGACTGTCACAGACCCTTATCTTAACTGAAAACACTAGGAAAGGCACCTGGAAATTTTTGAGACTCCATTTAGCCTTCCAGCCTACCAGCCTATGATCCCCTAGCCTAAACCTATCTTAAAATAAAATGCCAGCAAGGAAAATGTGAAACTAAGCAAAATTAAAGATAATTGGAAAACATGTTTATTTTTCAGAGGATACTTACAGCACTGGAAGGCTTGAGGATCATACTTTTCTTTTTAAGTGTCCCATTTGGTAGAGCACTTGTGTGATTTTTTTTCTTATTGACCTATGGAAGAATCAAGTGGCTGAAGTAACAGGCCAAATATACTCTGAAGACTCGAGAAGGGCTTACAATGCTTGTAATCTCAGGGTATCCACAGGCACAGCTCTATTCAGATTCAGATGGACAGACTAAATGTTTAAGTGCCAACAGTCAGACCCACCTATGCAGGTTTTTGTGCATTATCCTCTTCCTCCCTGCATTTCTGCAACCAGTAAAGTTCCTACAAAGCTCAGCTCTTCCAAATGTGGTAAGTACATCTTTACAATAGTGCAAAATTATACTCTTTCCTCAACTGTGGTTTTCATTCCCAAATGAACAAGCCTTGGGAATGGTTCCACTTGATAGAAAAAGGCAGTTAGCATTTGAGGAATCCAGCTCTGAGGCCAGGTGTAATTCCTATGCAGTTGGTTTGGAAGGAAACAGTAATGTTAATTTAAAGTAGCTCTACAATCAGAGGTGGAAAGAATTTTTTCCCCATATCCATACAAAAATACTTATTCCAAGCAGTTTTTCAGGTAGTGGGAAGGGAAGGGCTATGGGCTAGATTACCAATAAAGAAATTAAGTGCCAAGTTGTTTTTAAGGCACCTGATCTTTCAAGCTTGTTAGACATTCAAGTTCCCTATACACTTTATGGAGAGAGTTACGCACTACAGAATGAGATTCAAAATATCCAGCAACTACCCTAGAACTATCCAACAGAAAACACTAAAGACAAAAATATAACAATCTCTGCCCCCTGAGGCTTAGGTACCTCCACACTTACAGGGGATCCACAGCTTGGAGCCCTCTTCTGAAGATAGGCACCTGGCACCCTACAACTAGAGAGGGCTCACACATTTCCTTTAAAACATGGAGAAAGAACAGATGGTGTGCTGCTGCTGACACACACAACACCCCTTTTTGCAATAGCTTCATGAGGCAGTTCCCAAACTTTCTGAACCAATGCGAGACTGTCAGCTTTTGAAATTTCTTGTGGACCACCATGTGCTCTTACCCCAAATGTTTATTTGAGGACAACATACTGGCACACAGTATCCAATGAGATCCCTGGCCCATTTACCTGGGCTCTTGGACCATGGATCACAGTTTAGGAATCACTGGCTTGCTGCTTAACACACTTGCAGAGAAAAAGAAACTCAGATTCAGCTCCCCCCTGAGCCTGAAGGGATTCAAACCCATATCCAGGATTATTTGTGTAATAAATCCAAGACTAATCTAAAATATAGTATAAGTGGTGGGATCAAGGAGCTCTCAGGTCCATATATAACACTAGACTGAAGAGTGAGGACCCCTATTATTCTCTCTTTCAGGCCCAGTAGATTTCAAATTCTCTTCTACATTGTGATACAACTTCAACAGGGGGGTTGGAGTGTGCCTGGTAGTCAGGACACTCTCTAGAAAGAGATAGGAGATGTAGGTTTGAAGCCCTTCAGGTACAGGAGGGATTTAAATCAGTATCTCCCATTTCCTGCACAAGTGTCCTAACCACTAGGGTGGTGGGCACCACCTTCACCAACTCCAGCCACATCTTTAAAAAGTGGGTCTCTGACCAGATCAGACACGAAATAGGCACTGAGCCACATGACACTGTTGAGACCGGGGCTGTTCTAGGTGTTTAGGGAGCCTGAATGTCAAAGACATAACACATAAGGAGTTAAGATGTCTCTAGGATTAGGTGACAGCTCTGGGGATGAGGCAGTTAAAAATCAAAATTAGGTATCTGAATTCTACCAACGTTCCATTTTAGGGACCTAATGTTTGTTTGGATCTGGCCCTTACCTTCCAATTCAGACAAGAATATTCAGCTGCAAGGTAATAGCAGTATTGAAGCTCCATAGCAAAGGTTAATCTGTGCTAAGTGGAGCCTTTCCAAGAGCACACCCAGTCCTCTAACAGGGATGCCTTCAGCTTGTACCACAGTAATATTCTGCATTTGGATCAATAAATCTAAGAGACAGAGAGGTCACAGCTAGTGCAAAACCCCCAGAATGTGCATTATCGTTTTCTGTCTCTCCAAGCAAGGGATTCAGCTGTGCACTATGAAAATCCAATATCATAAGCAACAAGCCAACTGAAGAAATCAAAGCAAGGCCTATTATAAGCATTAAACTTTGAGTCTCGATATGTCATTTGTAGCTTATACATATGTTGTTTGTGAACTATTCTTTTCTATTTTATTCATTTCCTCAACACTGCATCCCAAGATTGCTACTGGCAGTATCAAGGGGGAATTTCTAATGCAGGAATCGCATGTCTGTAAAAGATTCCTTTCCATATTCTCTAAATATTGCTTTCTTAATGTCCTATTAATTTTCTGTTGAGTTCCTGCATACGTACCATTGAAAGGAATGACCAGGAGCCAGAGCCACTTAGGGAATTGATACTCTGGGCCAATGTGATTTCATTAAAAGGCAAAGTTCTTTCTTTCAAGGAGGTAATTTTACAGTATACAGCTTACTCTGGATCCTTCACATATTCATTCCCACCTGTTTTGTTGGCATGGAGGGTTTGCTGCTTCCACTCTCTGTTTCAGTTTCGGCACCAGGCTCTAAAATGCCATTGCTTCTAACAGGACTCTCTCGCTCTTCATTCATTTCAGCCTGGTGTGCTGTGGTAGGAGGATTATTCAGCTCTTCCACAGTGCAAACTTCACCAATGTCCAGGTTGTTCTTCCATTCTTTCATCAGCTCCAGGACATTACATGGCCTCTGGACAATATGAGTGTCACCCTATAGAATAACATTTTATTAATATTTTTTTCACTCACTGGATATAGTACACTAAATAATTTGCCATTTTGCTGTAGACCTTACTTCTGAAAATGCTTTTTTGTATTCTTTTGACTGTACATCATAAATGCAGTGAATAAATGTCAGATTATATTTTACAGAAATGTTAGCAGGATACTGAACTGAAGAAAGGGACTTCTTTGAAGGAGTTTGGCTCCAAACTGCAGATATCCAAAAAGAGAAAGAGAAGGGGCCACAGACAGCCTTTGTGCTCCCTTGCCTTCTAACTTCACTCTCAAAAACTTGAGCACAGCTCTGACAGGAACCGCTCTGCTCAGAATTATCCCACTGCCCCAGATCTGTAAATGTTGGTGGATATGGATGCTGTTTAGAGAATAGTCCCAGTCTGCCCAGCCTCAATGGAAATGGGGACAGGTTGGATTTCATGGGATTAGGGAAAATAATATCACAAAGGCAGCACTCCCTTTTGCTAGATGCCTTCTGCTCACAGACAATCCTAAATAATTATCCTTTTTGATTTATATCTACCTATCTATATCATTTGGTAAGGCCTATCCCATTCTTTCATGCTTTCACTCTCTTTATGAGCTGTGAGTCTGCAAGCTATGAAGAAAGAACAAATATACCAGGGGTACATGAAAGTTTTTTTTGAAAAAAAAGGAGTCAACTTTTAAAAAGAGAGAGAATAATAATAAATACCACTTTGTATTTATATCATGTTTCATCTGAGGAACTCAAAGAATTTTACTAAAGCACAAATATTTTATTAACACACTACTTCAGACCTCCTTATCCAATCACTAGACTATATTACATTAATTAAGATCTTTGCTGATTCTGTTTCAGATTTCTTCTTTGTCTTCTTATGGTGAGGGTGAGTGCTAGAAAACATTTTTTTGTGTGAAATTGGAGGGAGGGGTATAGCAATCCAGATATATGCTCAAAGTGAACAAGGTACTGTACAGTCATATCTTCTATCAACATAAAACTTGATTTTAAGAAACAACTTCCAATTCTGCAGGTGCAGATTTACATTTGCAATTAACTGTGGGCAAAATTGATGGCACAGACACTAAACTAACTGCCTCCTTTGCAAGAAAAATTGGGTAGTTACACGTAAGTGTATGGAATTGTGCCCACAAAATCAGAGGCTGAATTTAGGCCCTTTAAAAAGATCTAGGCCTTAAAAAGCTCCAGATAATTGTATAGCATATAAAAGAGAAGAGGGAGTTTGTAGTCTGGCAGTTTTTAAGAAAGTGGAACCATTTAAGTTAATTATCTGTGTTGGCTCATTTGAACACCTGTTGAGTTTAATTGGCTAGCATCTGGTGCCAATTGTGGGTGAAGAGAGTAGCAGATTACTAATTGACTGTCTTTACATTGTTTCACTTTCTTCTGTCTTCCATTTCATCTTTGTCTGTCCAGCTTTCCCTAGTGTGCTTCGCTAAGATTCAAGGCACAAGATGAAGAGATATCAATGAATAGCACAGAATTCAGTATCTTTCCCCTGATAACACAACATCATATCTAGAAATCCACCACTGAACACCACTTTGCTACTAATTTTAAATATCATTTTGCAACTACAGACTTCCCAGGAGAATTAAAAGGTTTATAGGTGAGAATTTTGAAGAGATGTCCAAACTAATAAGGTCTGGAGTATTTAGTTTAGAAGCTACAGCAGAAGATGAAAGCTAGGTTAACAGTAAAGAAAAAAGAATAGGCTGTGGGTAACCCAGATAAGTTGAAAAGCATGTTGTGAAATTGTTACACCAGTGATTGATTTTGTACATCTAAGGTAATACAACAAAAAACTTTCAAAATAAAACATTGAAAAATACACTTTGTGCATAAAAAGAGAAAGAGAACTGAATACAATGTGAAAATGCAGTAGCAGAATAGGACTCTGTAAAATAGAGAGTCTGACAAAAAAAATGTGCTTAGTATGTATGTGCTCCTTCCACCCCTACAAAACTTAAAGTCCTGGGGAGTTGTTACAGGTCAGTATTTCAGTCCCACAGAAACTATTATAATAGATAGGCAATGAATCTTATGTTGCCATGGCAGAACTTACTTCATGCATAGACAAAATCTAGTCAATCACCGAGAAAGTAACCCTGTGACTGTAAAATGAAAGCGTCCTCAAATTAGGTTGGAGAAACAGTAAGTGGAACAAGATTTCTAAGCATGCTAAAGGCAAGACCAGCTATCTACCTCTCTCCGAGCTTGCTAAGAAATACTACTGACACCACAGGGAAAGTTGACAATGGCAGATAAAAGGCGCAGAAAGGTCTTTTAGAACAGAGTAACTATATAATGAGGAAAGGTGGAGTGAGTATCTTGCTTTGTATATCCTTCATATGACAACACTCATTTTAATGATTTTTTTCCCGTTCAGAATGAATTGAGAGACAATGCTCTTGATAAGCTAGGAGGACTCTGAGTTTGTGTGTCAATTTAAGAGATGTGTCTATTTTAAAAGGCAGCAGCTTTCCTACCCACAGTAAGGACAATATAAACATAAAATAAACATGAAATAAACTCATAAGAAGAGCATTAAATCAGCTAGTAAGGCACAGTTTATAAAAAGAGAAGGGAAAATAACTGGAAAAAATTGCACAGAGAGAATTGTGTAACTCCTTCTCTTTTGCTGAAATGTGTTAATAAAATACATTATTTTGCTTTTAGTGTGCAGTGTTGGAGTGGTGTGAAAACCAACTCTAAATGGTTCTGACCCTTGTCACTTTTTCCAAAACCATGATCCATAGAACCACAGAGATCACCATCTGTGAGCTGTTTTTAAACCTTAGGACTTGTCTATACTGTGGACAGCCGTGTAGCATAGAGCTAGTACAGACTTTGGAAGCAGTCGAGCTGTGTCAGGACAGAATCCTACCTGAACTAGCCTGCCCTGTTTCTTGAGGTATGTCTTGGACAGAGTAAATTAGCCCACACTAAGCACTTCCACTATCCAATCTATCAATATACACTTGCCTTACGTCTTCCCTACTATTTGACCCTAATTTCTTGTTATGAACCCTTTTTGCATACTAATACAAGTGTTGGTCTCTATCATCCTTTTAATATGTAAAGGGATATGTTTTTAACCTTTTTTAACCACCATTTGAACTATAGTTAGTTTGGTTGGTTTTGTGTTTTCCTGATCTTAAAGTCTGTTAGGAGTTTTTAGTATCAGATTTAGTTGTAGACATTTTTAGTATCTACTTTAGTTGTAGACACTATCCACTTTCTGCTTAACTACAGAATCCTTTGTGCTATTCAAATACCAGGAGGCATTTCCTTTTTCTTTCTTTTTTTTTTTCTTTTTTATGAGCAGGTTGATTCTGAGAAATGTGTACGCAGAAAAAATGAAAAATCCCATATTCTGCAAGTGCAAGTTTGTTACACAGGAAATTATTATGCCTCCCCATTCCAATCAAGAAGTTTCATGTACTAGTAAATTTTACCAAAGAGGAATTATATCACAGCAGCATCAGAAAATGATAAAGCTACCATTCTGTTGAAGGGTTCACCTTCCAACAGTGCTCACAGACTGTTCCAAGAAAGAAATATTAATGAGGAAGAAAGCAAAGCAAAGCAAAGCAAAACCCTGGTCTGCAAGGAAACAGCACCCCCTGCCAGTATCAGACCTGAGAAAATACCTCAGACATTCTCATAATTGATATAAGGAAGCAAGAAGAGCCAGTACCTCTTTTGAGCTAAAAATATACAGCAGACCAAAAAATATATGATGCTAGATAGAGAGAAGATGGAATAGTATGTGAACACATGAAGATTAATCAATTAATAGAAAATTGTAGGTAGTCACACTATAATTGTTGGTCACATTCAAAACTAACTATTTGTCCTAAAAGCTGTAAAGAGGATCACATAAAAATGTACAGAATATCCTGTACCAACATCTCCTTTAAATGAAGCACACAGTTGCCAAAACATTATTTTCCTTCAATAATCTTAGTAAGATTCTAATATTCTATTCGTACTTAGGCCTACTTTTTCAGCTGATGAAGTAGTAGAAGTTAAGAAGATTGAAAGAAGTAATTAAATGGGGTAAAGCTCAGGAATAATCAAAACAAGAAACAGAATTGGTATAATTACTATTTGGAGTAAATAATTAATCAGTGATTGTTTGTATTGCCTCCAGCCAAAACTATTTGTTGTCTCAAACTGGCAACAGATAAACCTCCAAGGTAATTCCTAACCAAAACAGGGCTTGAAGTGTGTGTTTAGCTGTAAGTGCACTGCAATTCTAAAATGCACAATCTAACTGTTAAAGTTTATATCTAGATATAAATTTTGCCACATCTATCTTTGAACTGTTAATACTACTTACACAAGATGGCTTGTGACATCACATTATTTTGATGCAGGTGGGGCATATTTCATAACAGGAGATAGTAGTGCCAATAACTCTTATGCAGGAGCTGACGTGTCACTTGGTACCAAGAGGTTAATGTTTTTAACATGTACAATTCTCAACATGATAATGCACTTTCCTGTTACCCCTCTGGACATTGTAAAATCACGATGACAATGAAGGCATAAGAATGAACTAGACACTAATGGCCTGATTTTCAAAGCAACTTGCAATGAAGTTATATGGAAGCTACAAGCATTCAGTACTTCTGAAAACTAAGTCATAGGAAGACATCTTAAGGAACACTGATAAAAAATAAAATAATAACTGAAAGTCCCTGTTCCCTCTGTCCGTACTCCCTGACAAATCTTTGGTGTTTCTTATTGGAAAGATATTTAACCATCCCCGCTCTCCTTCCAACACCACTATATATAAACAGAGTATAAAAAAGAAAATAGTTGCAGGCCTCAGTTCTAAAGAGATCAAGTTACATTTTGAGTGTCAAAGATATGGCTGGTAGGCCAGATTTGTCACACAGAGCCATGTCATCTGGCCTGCGGGGCTCCTAGAGGGGCCAGGAGTTCATGGGTAGGGTAAGCAGTAGTGGGGCTCACTGATGAATTTTGGGGTGTGCAGCTCCACTGGGAACACATGTCCGTGGGGGTGTGGGGAGAGGAGAGCAATGGACATAGTAACCCCTGTGCCACCACTGATACCACTTGCACTGCCACTTGTTTGAGTCTGACACCTAATTTACATTAATTGGGATAAACATTTAACTGTCAAAAGTCCTGTCAACAGCTCCATATCAGCTGAACCCATTTTTAAAGTCAGATAATATGGGTATTTTTTAGTGCTTAATTAGGCAGCTTAACATCTGTCCAAAGAACAGAGGCATCTGGCTGACTAGAAAGGGGGAAAAAAACAGGCTATTGGTGGAAGGAAGAGATTGCTCTTCTGTCACGGGGAAGTCACTATTTCTCTGTGGCTCACTTTACCCACTTGTAAATTAGGTATAATAATCTTTTATCAACTTCATAGAAATACTGCAGAATTAACCAGTTAAGGCTTGATCATGTATTTCATATTTCAAAATATCTTTTGAAATCAATGGAAGGTTGGCTGGGTAAAGAAAACAGTACAAGGCACTCTGTAAAACCTTAAAAGTCTGATATCAGCCAATACAAATACACAGATTTGTATGGGCTTTGGATCAAGTTCTAGAAACAGCTTACATCTATTTGTTCAGGGTTTCACAGAAGTGACACAGCATCCTAGGCTAAAAGATCAAGATTCAAATAATAAGCAATAGAACAGGATGGAAAGTAATATGAAAAAAAGAGTCAAAACTTACTGTTATCCACTGGTTATCCAGTAATTCATGAGCTGTGATTCGATGGGCAGGATCTACTCTCAGAAGCAGTTGCAGCACATGTTTAGCTATAAGAAACAATTTAATAAATCACATCTTTCAACTACATAAGTGCTTTAATTCAGAAGAGAATAGTTTACTTATGATTCTGTGTATTTATTTTTTAACATCAATTTTTCTTTTGGGAAGCTACATTACATAAAGTAAAGGAGTCAAAATATCATAACTGTTTAATCTATTGCAGTGTTTTCAGGGTCTGTCAGATGGTTCCCAACTTACCAGCTTCACTAACTGTTTGCCAGATTGGATTGTTAAAATGTAGTTCTCCCTTCTTTATTAGTTCAAAGAGCTTTTCCTCTAAAGTTGCTATGAAAGGTGGCTCACCACATAATCTAAAATAAAAACAGACAAGATTAATAGATTCCTACTATTTTTACTGATGAAATGAGAAGTATGCGATATGAGATTTGATAATATGAAAGGCTAAACTGATTGGAAAAGGTTCAGGAGGGATCTACACAATTGGTTCAAGGCCTGAAAAATATATCTTACAAAAAACGACTGCAAGGAAAGAGGTTAAAAGATGGCTTTGTCACAGTCTTCATGTGCACAGGAAGACTATAACAAATACCACACAGATTTTTAACTCAGCTGAGAAAGCATGACAAGATCCAATGCCTGAAACCTGAAACTAGACAAATTGAAATGAACGAAGATATAAGTTTTTAACAACAAGGATAATAACTTATTGGAACAACAACAAGAAATGTTATAGATTCTTCACCAGGTTAAGCAGTTAAAGAAAGGCTGGATACTCCCCTAAAATATATCTTCTAGTTCAGCCACAAGTTATTGGGCTCAGGTTAGGGATTTCTGATGAAATTCTATGGGCCTGTGTTTTTGGACAGATCAAGAGCTCAGACTAGATGATCATAATAGCTCTTTCTAGCCTTAATATGTACTGAATAATTGCACTAGGGACCATTCAAATTTTGGGTGACAGTCCCCATACCAGCATCCGACAGTCCAAAAAATGCATGTGCCAAAAAAGTTCAGCTTGGGTTTATGGTGCTGGAAGTTAGAAAAAAATGTTTTTTTGACTAATAAACTAAAGAATGTTATATTAGTAATTGAGAGACAAATGTGGAACCCCTTCTTAAAAAACTATTTTTCTGAAAAGGTCTATATCATAGGAAAATTAAATAGACATTGGCTAGAAATTAATTACTCTTTTTAAATTTGTCATTTACTATTTGTAGTTGTGTCAATCCTTATTAATGGCATAATGCAGATATTGCTTTATTTGGCATAATCAGATCTCTGTCAATAAAAATACATAAAAACAGCATACTAGAAGTGTCAGGGGGAAAAAAAAAACTTATCAGCAGATGCCTCTGAGCACTTATATTTTGAAAATACAGGTACTCTGAGTATATCTTGGTAAGAAATCTTAAAAGTTATAACTTGCTTCATAATGCAGTTAGTAAAATATTAGAATGAATGACTGAAACCAAATGTTGTTGTGCTTCATGTCTGTCAATTCAGTATACCCTTAAAGGAAATAATACAGTATGATTTTATGCAACCTTTATAATATTGCTTGTGTTCTGACTTGTGGAAGGAAAAAGAAGGAACACCTGAAACAAAACTAGGGGAACACCTAAGAAAACATTGCTGGAAATATAAAATAAATGAATATGCTCTGCCTATGTTCCTGACCTTTTGTGTTTGCTTTCTGTGAACATTATCATTTACCAGCAGGAATATTCACAGACACATCAAATCTAAATAATTATATATTCAGGGCAAGTAGTTTGAATTTGTAAACAAGTACCCACAATGGAAAGTTGATTCTGTATTCTGCTAATCAAATCAGAGAGCTAACGCTCCCTGAAATCACATGCTGATGTCATGTGACCTGTGTTTCCAACCAAAACAAACAAATGCAGATTAAATTTCAAATATTGAATATAACAAACCACTCACAAACATTCTGCAGACAAAGAATTACATGGCAAAATAATGTCAAGAAATTAATACATTCTCATTATAAATAGTTTAAAAATAGAAAAAGAACCTGAATTCATTAAATGAATTATTTGCTACAAATTAAGTTTTTAAACCTGCTCTCAAAACACAGAAGTAGCTGCTGAAAACCTAACTGTCATCTCCTGAAGGATGTCTGTCACTTCATATCAAAGTACAGAACTATGATTTTTTAATTTCTTTCAGATTTTAATTTTTAATTTTAAGGTAAAACATAAAATTAATATTTTAGCACTTTACCCCCTTCTCAAAGCTTTAATCTCCAAATCACTTCAACAGAAAACGGTTCAATATGCTTTTATCCTTCAATTCTCTTTCCCTTTCCAAGTTCTTATATCTGCATAGAACTAAATTTAAAGCCTGAAGCATGAATCATTTTAATCTATGACACTGTAAATATTAGCAAGTGATGGAGCTCATTATTCTGCAGTACAAAGGGAAGGCCAAATCCTGTCCTAAAAAGAAAGCAAGCAGAGATGCTGCCCTTTGTAACTTTTACCATAGAAATCAACTCAACCAGGATGGAATATTATCACATGATGTTGGGGTGATATGTTGAACTTTCCTGCACACTTAAGCGAGAGTGAAGTGCATCATACCTCTGTAGTCAGTTAGTGTTTGCCACTATCAGCCAGCTGGGGTGAAGGGAGAGGGGGGGTTTAGATTTCTCACCTTATCCAGAGGTCTTTGGAGAGGTGTTGCATGAGCCAGCATGCTAGCTGTCTCTATTAGCACATTCTGAACAGCTGCAGAGAAATTCTCCTGTGCTGACTGCATGTGGAAAAGAAGCTCCTCACCCATTACCTGCAGACAGCAGGATTTAGACAACACATGCAGAGCACAAGGCAGCAAGATTCCTTTGCTCATCTATTCCATGAATGAACTAACCCACCTCTATATTCTATTTTATTGTTCTATCTATTGTTTCTGTTTCTATTAGTATATGCTAAAATAGAAATGTAATAGGAAGTTTAAAGTATATCTTTGTTTAAATTATAAATTAAAAATACATCATGCTGGCATATACCCTATTATGCAGAAGCAGGTCAGGGCATTAATGTTCAAGAAAACTGATTTCATGAGTCACCTCAGGGCTTGTGTTCTCTAGATAGGCAGAGATCAAATCTGCCATGGCAATAATATACTTGGTACCAAGATGGAGTGTACCCATTCTGGAAGGAAGGGCTAACTAACATCCAGAACTGGCTGAGTATTGGCTGAGTGTTACTCAGCTTATGGTCTAATGTAGCTCTCAGTTCCTTTGTGATACTAAAGCCTAGCCAGTCATTCACTCTCTAGTCTGTATTTGTGCATGCAGGTATTCTGTCCCAAAAGCAATCTTTGCACCCGTTCCTGATGAATCTCATCTGATTGATTGCAGACCATTTCTCTAGTCTGTCCAGGTCAACTAGAATACTGTGTACAGTTTTGGTCCCCACACTTCAGCGAAGGATATGAACAATTTGGAAAAAGTCCAGCACAGATTGATGATTAAGGGGCTGAGCTCAAGACTTGTGAGGAAAGGCTAAAAAAAAGTACCGTAATTTAGTCTGGAAAAGTAAAGACTGAGGGGGGATTTGATAACAGTCCTCAGATATCTGAAGGGCAATTACAAAAAGGATACAAATGGGCTTTTCTCCATGACTGAAGGGGACAGGACTAAGAGTAATGGTCTTAAACTGCAGGGGAAATTTAGGTTAGAGATTAAGAAGAACTTTCTGACTATGAGGGTGGCTAAGCATTGGAACAGGTTACCTAAAATAAATTGTGGAGTCTCCATCCTTGGAAGTTTTCAAGAGCAGGTTGGACAAACACTTGGCTGGGGTTGTTTAGTCAGGGATGATCCTGCCTTGAACAGAGGGCTGAACTAGACGATCTTATGAGGCTCCTTCCAGCCCTACTTTCCTATGATACTATGATCTGCATGCCTTGCAAGAACATGAGCAGCTAGCAAATTAATAAGGAGACATTAACTACAGCTTAGAAGGGTCAAAGTTTTGACAGTGGCAATAATATTTGTAATAGCTTCTTTAAAACTGTTAGGGCAGTACCAGAAGCCCAGCTATTAGAATGAGGTGGAGGGATGAGCTATTTGTAAAAACAAAATTAAAACCAGAATATCCAATGACTTTCTCCAAATTATGCAATAAAAAGAATGTGAATTGCATTCTATTAATTCACATTCATTGTGTTCATTTTTTTATTGTCAACCAAACTAGGTGTGAATTAATACCACACTGTTCTGACACTATTGTGATTATAAAATGCTAATTTTTAAAAATATTTACATTACTAATTAAGAAATAGGGTCAGAAGTTGTGAGCAGCACAATTCAGTGCTCTGAATCTTGTAAGTTCTGAGCCGTGAATTCAAACTACCCAATTTCTACTGCCCATTTTATAACTTATCCCACTGTAGTATGTTGTGCAAATACAACTACTAGGATGCCAACATTAATACCATAAAGTATACCTATAAAACTGATACTGAATCACCATAAAAAGTACACACAATACAGTGCATGCTAGAAATAAAAAATAAGAATAAAGGAGATAAAGCTGTGAGGACTTTTTCATGCTGTGAACAAAACCAAGGTGGGTTAACTGTGCAGGAAAAAAAAACCTGAGGAACAGATGGAAAAGAAAGATAAAAGAGAAGAGAAGAGAATGAGAATTGCATGTGTTCATGTGTGCCTGCTTTTAAAAGACTGTCATAAAAGATCAGGTTGCATGCAACAGAGGTACAAAGGTCATAGAATAGAAAGCTTACCAGTGAATCAAATACTATAAAGGAAGACTCTAAATTCACTGCATTAAAGCCATGAACTAGGAAGACAGCAGCTTACATGACAAGGTCCAAGAGAGATTAGAGAGATTGAGAGAGATTAAAAATACACAAATCTATAATGAAAGTGAGAGCAGT